TTTTGTACTTTTCCATTCTCTAGCAGCTAAATTCCCAACATCTCCCCTGTTTTTATTTTTTTTAAAAAAAGTTCTATGGGCTAACTGTGTTACACTTTTTGCACGACAAAAATAGGCAATTTTAACAACTAAACAGTATTTTTATTTAACAAGGTTTTTTTTTAAATAAAAAATTTAAGCCAGGAAAACAAATTAAAAAGGCTATCACTAATTATAAGACATTATATAACAAATACAAAAAAGAATTCTATGTGTTACAAAACTTAAACAAAACTTACGTGTGTTAATATAACTCACAAAAATAAGCTAAAAAAAGTTTGTTTTTTATTCTTAAACAGCAAATGTATTTTAAACAAAAACAGTTTTACTCACAAATGTTTTTGATTGTCTTTTTTAACTAGAGTTTCTCTAATGTTTATAACAATATTTTGCATACAGGTCATAAAATAAACGCCTATTATAAAAAGATAAATCTATTTAACATTATTTAAATTTAATAGTATTTAGATTTAAAATATTTAAACTTTAAATATTTTAACTTAACAAAATTTAATATTATTTAAACTTAGTTTTAACAAAAATTAGCTGATTTTAAATTTTATATAACTTATATTTAATATAATTTTAATTTTAACAAAAAACTTTTGGTCAACAAAAGTTTGTTTTTAATCATAATAAAAAGCAAGTGATATCCTAAAATAAATATTAATTGCTGTATGTTTTTGTTAATCACATGTTTTTAAAAATCAAGCTTTTATTAACTAAAATTTGAAATTATTAATGATTTTATTTTTATTTTATATTTTATTATGATTTTATTTTTATTATTTATTATTATTATTATTATTATTTTATTTTATTATTTATTTTATATTTTATTATTTTATTTATATTATTATTATGTTTTTAAGGTGGCTGGCACCACTTTAAAAAACAAGTATTTTTTTGAATTTAGAGAAAAAAAATAATTTTTATTTAAAAATAATTATATAGTAATTTTATAAAATGTCTCTTTGAGGAAATATATCAACAGATTTTTTTTGTGTAAAATAAACATTTTTTAGCTTAAATCTTTGA